TTTTTAGCAAGCTACCATATAAGGAGATGTAATCGTCATAGAAAGTACAGAGCAAGAAAAGAGAGTTTGATAATAAAGAAAAATTTTCGTAGATTATTCGTTTGGTTGTCTCTTGCATCTGTGTGTTGATACCTTAACATATTCAAAGTTTTCCCATTTAACAGCGAACCAAGCTATCCTCGAAGCCACTGAAGGAGCCACCAAGATTCACATAGTTGATTTTGGGATTGTGCAAGGGATTCAATGGGCTGCAATGTTGCAAGCATTCGCCACTCGCTCCTCTGGGAAGCCTCGTAGAATAAGAATTTCTGGGATACCAGCCATGCCTCTTGGAGCATCATCTCTCTATACCACAGGGAATCGACTCTACGAGTTTGCAAAGCTTCTAGGATTGAATTTCGAGTTCAAACCGATTCTGATACCAATTCATGAACTGAATGAATCCAGCTTTGATATTGATCCTGATGAGGCCTTGGCTGTGAACTTCATGCTTCAATTATATAATCTGTTGGGTGAGACTACAACCACGGTAGAGACTGCACTTGTTTGGCTAAGTCTATGAAACCCAAAATTGTAGCTCTTGGTGAGTACGAAGCAAGCTTGAACCGGGTTGGGTTTTTCAACCGGTTCAAGTCTGCATTGAAGTACTTTTTAGCAATGTTTGAGTCCCTGGAACCAAACTTGGCCTCAGATTCACGAGAGAGACTTATGCTGGGAAGGCGAATTGCCAACGTGGTTATTGGTTCAGAGTTAAGAGAAAGAATGGAAGACAAAGAGCAGTGGAGAGTTTTGATGGAAAGTTGTGGTTTTGAATCTGTTAGTCTCAGCCATTATGCAATTAGTCAAGCTAAGATTCTTCTATGGAATTACAGCTACAGTTCCATGTATTCCCTGATTGAATCTCAACCTGGGTTTTTGTCTCTGGTATGGAAAGATGTCCCTCTCTTGACCATTTCTTCCTGGCGTTAATGGACTCAATTGTAAATCGGTTTCCACCTGGTCCTTTTTCTCTGGGGTGGAACAACTGATTTCATTGTTTATATGCCATTGAATTGATGATCATACTTGGCGCTTCTTCACTTGATCTTTTACTTAGTGAAGCTATACAGATTGATATATTATAGCCACCAGATTGTTTGGAGGATTACTAATTTGGATGTGCTTTCTGCAGTTTGGTCGTGGTTCCATACTTCCTCACCTCTCCCTTCTTTTTCGTTTCAATTGTTTTTTCTTTTTGTAGTATTTTGATGCGGCAGTGTTTTTAGGTTGAAGACTTGACTAGACAAAAAGTTAACTAGGGAAAGGAAATGAAGAAATGGAAAGAAATAAGTTTTTCTTCCCATTGGTTATATATATTGTAAATTTGATTTTGTTGTATGGATTTAAATCGCCTTAATATCAAAAGGAATTTTATCTTTACTCTGCAAAATGTATTAACCAATATTTTAAGCAAAGTGATGGTTATTGAGAAAATTGGCTGTATATATGTCACAGTCTTCTATTTTTTTGGGTACAGGTACAGCGCTTGATGAAGACCCTTAGGAAACGTTTGGAGAAATTTTTTTATGCCTAGAATATGGTAGGAAATTAAATTATCTGAAAATGTGATTAAATTATCTGAAAATGTGAGGACTGCCATTGTTTTCCTTAACACCATATGAGGAAAGTTTGTTTCTTTTCGTTTATGAAAGCTTTCTTGCTAGTAGTGCTGGTCTTTCTCAAATCTGTGGCCCATATTAATGGCTTTGTTGCCTGTCTCTTTCATACTACAATCAAGTTCCTTTACTTCCATTACGGGCATAGCAGAGAAAACAGCGGAAGAAGAACCAGCCTCTTCGAGTCTTCATGAAACATTAGCTAGAGCGTGACAAGGAAGACTGATATTGCTGTTTCTGGTTTGAGTGATTGTGACAATTCAAGGTTATGACTTGTGAGTAGAGCTTATTTTCGGTACAACAGGGATACATAAATATAAAAATAGGAAATATGAATGGAAATATCCATAAAAATGACAATAGTATAAAAGTAATACTTTTTACCATATTTGATAAATGATAAATGATGCACCGAGTATGTATTCAGTACAAATCTCTAGTGTTTGAAATGAAAATATTTTCGTGAGTCGGACTTTCTCTTATTGATCTTGATTTTGCAAAATGGTCCCATGTATGTAGACTGGACTTGGGTATGCATCCTATTTCTCTCCTTAAACCGAAGTGCTTCTATGATAGATTATAACATTGTCTATCTCTCTCTCTACGAAAAATAAATAAATTGTTTTGAGGTTTAGCACTCTTTTCTTCTTTTAATTGAACTTCTTGTAACTTGTAATTATTATTTGGTATAGACCATGATAAGCAACGAACCACGGACACGCGGTTTGAAATTTTTTTTGCGTGTCGGACATTGGACACGGACACGCTTTGACATGCTCGGACACGCGGTCAACATTTTGGGACACGCGGTTAATTCTCTGGCACGTTCCGACACGTTTTTCGGACACGCGGTCAACATTTTAGGACACGCGGTCAACGTTAGGACACGCTCGAACACGTTTTTTTTTTTTAATTTTAATTTTATTTTGTTAACTAAATATAAAAGAAATAATTTATAAATTAATTTTTTTCTGTTATGAAATTTGACATGAAAAATTAACAAAGTACAAAAAATTATTTATATTTATATTTATGTTATGGAATTTAAATATTTGATTGATTATATGACTTATTATGGATTCTTATATGTATTAAATATAAATTATATTATATATTAAAATTTTTATTTAATATCAAAACGTGTCCAAATATGACATTTTTTAGAATTAACGTGTCGACGTGTCGTGTCGTGTAGTGTCCGTGTCCGTGCATCATAGATGATAAGTCTCCATTACTGGTTTGGTTACATAAAATATCTTTATTTTCAAACCTAATGATGTTTTGAAACATGTGATTCTTATTAATATGTTTCACATAGCAGCAAGGTAGTGCTCACTGACTTCATTTCATAGTACATAATTATATCATCGAGGAAAATGCAATTGAGTAGTCATGGATCATGAATACATATGTTGACTTGAAGATCTTGGCACATAATTATTGGTGTTACTTTATGAGTACATGAAAATTACTTGTTGCGGGGATAATGTTGTAGTGGCAGTCCATTTTGCCTTAATGTTATACATGCTGGTCATCTCATCCTTTTTGAGAAATGACCGAGCTTGAGAATTATCAACTACCAATTTCCCAAACTAATGATGGAACAATAACACATTTTACGTTTTGGAATATGTAAATTACACAGTCATAGACCATTGAAAAATTAGTTCATTAATTATAAAGGTGAATAGTTTATCTGCATGCATGATTGGAGTGAGAGGGCTGGCATGGCTGCCAGATTCTTAATTGCGAGTACCACAAAAGAAGTGAAGAACAAAAATGTAGTATTAAGTTAAGAGTCCCCTCGTTCTACAAACAGTAGTACTTTCTAATTCTTTATGGTTTGCTCGAGCTACACGTACGACAATATTTATATATCTTGAACATAAACAGTTGTGACGGCCAATCTTTCTTCTGGACACAGCAACATGTTCTACCAACTTTTAGACCCCAATAGTGTTCCACTTTCTTGCTAACTTCTGGCCTCTGGGGGAGGGGGGAACTGGACCAGTGAACACTCAAGTAACTTCAAGCTGCTTCTCTCTCTCTCTCTCTCTCTCTCTCTCTGTTAAAGTGAGAAACATGTTCATCATATCCTTCCTTCATAAAGGGAGAACATGGAAGAAAAATATTGGTTAGTGGTTCGTAGAGCTTTTTTTGACCTTAATGATTACAGGGAATGAATTTGCATGCAAATTGTGGGCCTCCCATGCAAACCGGAAGCTGGCTATATTTCACTTGTGAGTGTTTGTTGAGCTTTAGTGCCACGTCACACCTACCATGTTTCTGAAAGGAAAGAAAGAGTGGCACAGTTGTTGGGTACAATCAAAGGGTGAAAAAGTACACCAGAACATATTTGTATCTTCTTTTTTTTATCCACATGGTGGGGCTAGTTTTCCAAAGAAAATTTTGAACCAACTCCCTTTCGTGATTTGTATCCTTTAATAATATATTTTCACCTTTTTTTATTACGAGAGAGAAAAAAAAAATTTAAAAAGTTATCATTACTTGTACCAAAATTTATTAAAATTAATTTTGTATATTTGTCTTTCTCGAGAAAAATAACATCGCATAACCTAAAATAATGCGGAAGAGAAGTGAAGAGAGGGAGTGTAGATTAGAATTCAAAAGACGTAATGATCTGGTGAGCATGAATTGAGAGTCCGTTTGCATGGATTTTTTTTCTTTTAAAAACTGTTTTTTTTTAAGAAAAAATAGCAATTATCGAAAAAAGTTTGTTTGAATATCTACTTTTTAAAAAAGCAGAAGTCATAAAAAAAACTAAAAATTTACTTTTTTTGAAATTTAAAAATTTTAACTTTTAAAAAAGCAGAAGTCAAAAGTCAAATATTTTTTTTAAAATCAAATATTTTTTAAAAAATCTAAATAGCTGTAACTTTTATAAAAAATATTTTTAAAATAAAAAAATAATAAAAAAAACTTTCTTGAAAACACAGTACAAACGAGCCGTTAGTGAATGGTGGCACAAGCTCAAGAACTTAACATGAACTTGATAGGTCATTTCAATTTATGACGTCACCCATGTTCTCTCTTCAACTTTCATTTGCGAACCGCTAAACAAAAAAGAGAGAGTCGATGCTGACGTCAACGATCAGCTGGTCCCACAATCTTGACAACACTGCACTTAGCCTTAGGTTTTTTCCTTTTTTTTTTATCAAGAACAATAAAAAAAGGAAACTGCATTGTGAGTAATTGGTTGGCTCGGCTCGGCCCGGCCCGTGCCGACCCAGCTATTGGACTTGGATATGGGTATTTCGGGCCCAGGCCCATTTCGAATCTAACCATTATTGTCACGGAGCGAGCCACTTAGCCAGAACCGAAACAATGGCGGGGTCAGAGCCCTCTCCTTCTCCAAAAATCCTTCTAGCAAAGCCTGGACTCGTCTCCGGCGGACCCGTCGCCGGTAAATTCGGCCGTGGAGGCACCGGCGAAGACGATTCCGCGCAGCTACGTTCTCGTCTTCCTTCTGTCGCATCTCTCAACCTTCTCTCCGATTCCTGGGATTTCCATATCGATCGCTTTCTCCCTGTGTGTAATCACTCTCTCTCACTCTCACTCTCTCTCTTCATCTTGTGGAAAATGTTTACAATTCGATGTTAGTCGGTAACTGAGAATGAGATAGAAAGTAAGCAATTGGATTTTCAAAATGTTGCAGTTTTTGACTGAGAATACGGACTTTACTGTGATTGGAGTGATTGGGCCACCTGGAGTTGGCAAGTCTACTATTATGAATGAACTTTATGGTTTTGATTCGAGTTCGCCTGGTTAGTTTTATTCACATAGTTTAATTTTGACTCTCTTTTTACTTGCTTGCATATCTTTAACTTTAATGTCTAAGCCTGCAGGGATGCTACCACCTTTTGCAATACAGTCCGAAGAAACTAGAGCTATGGCAAGACATTGTTCTACGGGCATTGAACCAAGGGTATCTTCTGAACGTATTATTCTTCTTGATACCCAGGTACTCCCCATAATGTCTTCATTGGTTACAAAAGTTTTCTTGTTCCTTTAATTTGCTTCAGTTATCGTTTGGAGCTTTGTTTGTTTTATATTGCTTCCAATGTTCCTCTTTCTTCTTCTCCTCCACTTTTACTTGTTTTATTTGTGTGTTTATATTTTTTATTTTATTTTATTTTATTTTTCCACTTGTAGCCTGTATTTAGTGCTTCTGTTTTAGCTGAGATGATGCGACCAGATGGCTCTTCAACAATTTCAGTGCTAAGTGGAGAATCCCTGTCAGCTGAATTGGCTCATGAACTTATGGGTATTCAGGTAAACAGTAACTTCCAAGCAGAGAATATTGTTTGTATAACCGCCCTAGCTTGGTCGCGATTGATATTTCTTTTTTCTGGTACCATTGTATCTGATGAATTTGACTATGTTGGGATGGTGCAAGGAATCTTTCTAGCTTGCTGTTCTTCTTGCATCCATATGTCATATTCTGCTGGTGGTGTCAGAAGGAGTCCATGATGATAGCATGTGGCATTTGATGTTGACGGTATGTGCTTTGGTCTAGTTTGTTTGTTATATTTACAGATTCTTCAAGTCCTCTTGAATACTTCAATGCTTATTTCATGTTATGCAAATTTTGTAATCATTTAAAAAACAGTTGTGTCTGTGGGTTCCATCTGTTATTTGAATGCACTCACTCTCTTTTTTTTTTGGCTCAATTTTTTGGCTATAAGAGTTGAGTTGATAGATCAAGGACTTGGATTCCCCGTTTGGCCTACACTATATGAAATCAAGTGGTTTAAGATCCATCCGTTACTTTTACAATGATCATTTTTTATGCTTTTGAAATATGTGACTTCCCCTTTTGCCAATAAGTTCAGATGATGAACATTACTTGATTAATCTGTTATCTTGTCAGCTCTGAGTTTTGTAGATTTTAGATGACTTGCTTATAAGGAAGGACAAGTACATGATGTTATTGATTGAGAAGAGAGAAATATCATATGCTTGTAACATCTTATTGTCTACAAATTGGCAGAAAAGCTATTTCTGGGCTTCCTTGTTTAATTCAAATTCTTACACATCTTGTGCAGATAGTTAGTTCTTTATAAATTTATGTTGTAAAGACAGTTGATGTATTGAAAAGGACTGACATGCTGTAAATGTTATCATGTAGGTTGACTTGTTGAAGCACGGCATTTCAGACCCATCCTTGCTGGCTTCTTCCCTTTCACAGAGCTCTAGTTCAGGGCTTGAGAAAGATATCAAAGTTCCTGAACGTGAGGAATACATGGCAACTCCTGTGTTTGTACACACCAAGTAAGAAATATCTTTCTACCTTAACATAATGGCAGGAAATTATTGGCATAAATGAGTGATCGAATGCATAATTATTGTAATACAGCCAAGATAATAAATTGTAAGATGCATCATGATTGCTCCAAACTGTTTGGCATTTGTATTTAGTTAATTATTTAAGCAAAGGAGAGTTCTTGAAAAGTCAAGCCTGCCTCAAGTGAACTAGGGGATGAGAACTGATGAATTGTTCATGTTTTATGACTTGATTAGCCAAATTCCCTCTTGGTCCAACATCTTGGCTGGATTTAATTTTTCTGGAATTTTTCCTTTTAAAACCTTTAAAATTATGGTCTATGTTACCTACTGCTTGTGTGTAACTAACTATTTGAAAATATTTAAGAAAATCAAGAACCAAGGATGAAGTATAGAATATTTTGATTAGTGTTGAGCCTGTGACTGTTGGTAAAAGAAGATTAATTGCAAAAGAGGCCCAAAAATAAAGTTACGTGAGGCTTACATAACACATGGATGCATTACTGGTAAAATTATATATTCTTTGCTCGAGCAAGAAGCGCTAGAAAGGACTCTTGTTATGTATTATATTGTTTAACTTTGGTGTTTCCATGACTGATTAGGCTGACTTTCATATAATCGATTTAAAAAATTTGTAATCATATTAGCAGTTATCCCCGTTCGACAATATCCACTTTTTGCCCTTATTGAAATAGGCTGCTGCATAGTGAAGCCCTCATCTGTATTTTCTTTTGACTTCTATAGGCTGCAAGATCAAGACTTTACTCCTAAAAATTTTGTGCAGTTGAGGAATGCACTCATACAGTATTTCAAACCATCCTCTTTTGTGAGAGAACACGCTGGAAACAAGCCTGAGGAGCATGTTGCGTCTTCTATGGTTCATGGTATTCATATGGATTCTAATATGCTAAATTTGTATTGGATCCCATTTAAGAAAAAAGATGAAAATCCAAGAGCTCAGCATGAGAGTTACATTTCTGCACTATGGAAATTACGGGATCAGGTCTCTCTCTCTCTCCATTCACATGCACACGAACATAAAATGAATGCCCCACAAAAATTATGGGATTTATCAAGTCTTTTACTTTGCTATTGTTATATTGCCTCCTTTCTTGTAGACCATTTAATTCTAATAATCAACAAAATTTAGGACACGTTGTGATATGTTTTCCTTTCTGTCAGATTTTATCCATGAAATCACCATCTTTCACGAGACCCGTCTCTGAGCGTGAATGGTTGAAGAATTCAGGCAAGATATGGGAACAGGTTAAAAACTCCCCAACGATATTGGAGTACTGCAGAACACTTCAACATTCTGGTATGTATAGGAGGTAGAACGTTATGAAAGATAGAAAGATTCGAAACAGTTTCCGTGATTGTACTTCAAGATATATCTTATTTTGATACAAAATTATCAGATTCGCGTATGAATCTTGTTCTCTGCGCTGATTATATTGCTGGCAAATCCAACTCTATACCTGTAGTTTTTAAAAATTCCCAGTAGTTTAAATTTGTTTGCTTTGCCCAAAATTCACAATTGGTAAAGATATTTAGTGGCACAAACAACTAACACAGCATTCATCAAGAGTGTGCTTAATAGACATGTTAGAAAAAAACACGAAAGTTACAACGTCATTGAATGAGATGACGGACAAACATTTTTGTGTCCACAAAGCAGTGATATACAAATCAAATTGGTAAACTTGCACCAAAGTGAATTGCACACCGTGTTGTAGATTAAAAATAAAGCATTGTCTTAGCATTTTCTTTGATAAAATGATATAATATGTTTGTTGACTTTTAAATAAGATACATTTGACTTTTAAAAATTGCACAGCGTGTTGCACCAAAGCGAATTGCACACCAAATTGAATTTCCCAGCAGTGCTTAATAGAGTAATTACTTTGGCAAAGTGAGGGTGAGGGAGCTGAGATGGAAATGGAGATGGCCATTTGACCCTATCCGACACCCATTTCCCCTTTTTCGAGGTGCTCGTCGACGCTGTTGTTTCAAGAGGAGCTAGTTTGGTTGATTTTGCTGTCGGTCAAGTTGTTTCACCGATTCACAACCACCATATTTGGATTTCCTCCGAATAGCTCCTCCACCAAAACCCCTTTAGCATATTTGATTCGAGCTGCATCCACATCCACATCCACAGTCGGTGCTTGAACTTATCTTGATCTTATCTCTCCCGTCTAATTTTGCTACTTTTTTGTCCCCTTCTAAAGTTGTTTATACCTTGCAAATTATCAATGAACTCCTAAGACTTTCATATTTAATAGTAAGTCCTTATTTTTTTGTACTTTTTCCTCATTTTTTGTCTCATTGAAAAAAATTCTCTTTACAAAATTTTCATTAAAAAAATAACATATTATTTAACTTACGAGTATTGTACGCATTTAAATATCTTGTTCTTATATGTTGGGCATGTGTTTGTGTATGATTTTTTTTATTTGTTTCTCTTTATTTATTTAATTATTTTTTTTGTAAAATTCTTTTAGTCTAATTTGATTGGTTTTCCCTGAGAGTTGATTCTTTTATGTTTAAATATCATGGTTATTTTGTCTTAAAATAAATATTTTTGTGCTCATTTTTTATACACACATTATTTTATGTGTGCGTGTGCACGTATATGAATTTTTCATTTATTTTAAATTAAATTAAAACAATTATATAATTAAAAATTAATATAATTCGATTTGAGTGATTTTTTTTTATTTTCAATAACGTAGTTAAATTGTCAATATTTTAAATTTTGTTCAACTACTGTACAAAGTAATTATAATGTATAATTTACAGAGTGCAATATATTATTTTTGAAGACTTGATAGGCCAAGCCTTGTATTTTTTAAAAACAAGTCAGAACAAACTTATAATTTGACCTGTATCAGAATAACAAGTCAAGTCAAACTTGAAATAATTTACACATGCCTAACTCATTTAAGCCAAAATCTGAGTTGGCGTGACTCATTTACACTCGTAATCACAAAGGTATGACCGATGAATATTTTTCTATTTCTTTCAATATGAGGTTGTTGCACATCTTATTCCTACCTTTACACTTAACAATGTCAGTACCCAAGCATCTAAGAACTTATTAGCATACCGAACAATGCCAGGTGCAACAAATCTCTTTGATAGCAAAAAAATAAAAAGGTATTTATCTTAATTCTTTAGTGTTCTTTAATCAGATTTTACCTCTTGATTAAATAATTTATATGTATGTGTTCATTAGTTCAATCGAAATTAAAATTAAACATAAACTGTCTGAATTCCTTGAAATTCACTTTGAGGAAAACAAATCATAACAACATCACCAAACTCAAGCAAAGGCAAGAAGAGACAAATGAAATGTTATATCCCATATTAATTGAATAAGATTTAATATCTCAAGAATACAAAATAAATATTTAAAAATTAAATAATTTCTTGATTTCTTTGTAAGATTTTTGGAGAAGAGAAAGAGACCGTTTATTGAAGCAGAGTGTATAGCAGAGATCTTCCAGCTGAATGAAGCAAAAAAGGCATCAACATCAACATAAGGGGACAATTCTATAACATAGCGCTCAAGGGAAAGCTTGCTCGGAAAGGTGTGTTTCTGCTTGCGGCTTGAACCTCGGTTATTTGCAAGGAGTCGAATCTGAAGATAGAGGTACTGATCTTGAAAGACCTCTTTTGCAAGGCCTAACATATGATCCTCCAGGCTTAACTGTATTTTAAAATAAATTTTTTATTAATAATTATACATGATATTGTTAATTGAATAAATTCCTTCCATATAGAATAATGTACATCTGTCTATATTTTATAATTTATAAATGATAAAATTAGTTGAATAAACTCCAGAAGTTAAGACAAATTGCAAATAAAATTTGCACATTTTCCGCACATGCATTCCTGAAGATGAGTTTTAATTTACAAATTGCATTGCATGCTTATCCTTGAACATATGAGGACTACCAAAATTGTAAATTAGTCAACATTTATTTTTGATATATAATTTATTGCAAATAAAATTTACATATTCACCACATATATAATTTATTTTTCATATGCAGCCAACATTTAATTATATAATTACTTCAAAAAATTAATTTTTGTTATAGAATGGTCGGATTATGGGAAGGTAAAGAAAATTTTAAATGACCCTGACAACAATTTGAGTAAGATTTTTTATCTTTTATTTTTATTTTATTTTTTTTATAAACCACATGTATCTTTCATGGGAGTCAATTCTGTTCGGAATAGATCCAAGATTAAGGCTTTAAACCCCTCTCAAAAATGATATCTACCCTCTTTCTTTTCTTGCCTGTATTTCTTTAGAATATTATTTTTCTCACTTTAATGGAATTGTTATTTTTTTTTGGTAATCAATGGAATTGTTATTCTATTAGAGAAGATCGAACACATATTTTCAGCTCCACCTACTCAACTCAGTTTTCATGTGTCAACTGAACTACTATTATTTGGTATCTTTAATTATTTTACCTGTACTTTTAGAATCATATACCATAAGTACAAAATATTTTAATATTATGTTTATGTACCTAATATTATATTTATATTATTTTATCTGTCTAATATTATATTACATCATACTGTTATATTAAAGTTATATTACATTATAGTAAAGGTAATCCGCATCTAATCCAATGTCTTCCTTCTGTTGGATCAAATTTTTAGTATTTATGAAAGAGAAATGCTAAATGTTGTAAAAAAAAAATTCCTCCAATTGCAATACGAATCATATGTCACACACCATCTAAATGGCAGTTCTCATAAAAATATGATCTGGCTCAACTTAACAAGCAGTGTAGAAGACGCTTCTCTTATCTAGAAAATTGTATTTACCTTCCTTTATTATTTATAAGGAAAAAAGTATAAATAATACATAAAATAGGGAAAGAAAGTTAAAATTTTCATTGAGAAAGAAAAAGGGCGTTGAGTGTATCAACAATAAGAGACGCGTGAGTAAATTTTGTATAATAATTGTTAAAATATATATAAACGTCTAAATAAGAGTTCGGGCAAAACATTTTTGTAAATAAAAGCAAATCTTCTTAACAAGTCACATACATAGAGATTGGTGACAGTATATATGGGAAACAATTCAAATACAAAGTGAATTTGTCAGCTATCACAGCTAATAATTCGTTTTATTATTAACGAAAAAAAAAAGTGCTTTCCAGCTCGGGAAATGAATGCAAAACATTTTTTCAGGAACATCTCCTACTTAAAGCTGAACAGTATTCATGGTTCAAGCCTTGGACTGCCATGGTTGGTACCTGGTCCAGTCTCTCTGCCCTGGATTAAGTGCATGTCCCTTGGAATGATAGATAAACTGATCACCTTCTCCAGACAAATTTTCTTTGTGTTCAACCCCATATCTTTTCGGTTTCAGTAAAAGAAGCTGCAACACGTTCATTGCATTGTTATTTCGGGGCTTCAGATTTTCCTACCATATGGCATTACCAGGGAAGGAATTAGGAAAGAAACGAATTTACCTCGTCTCCTGTGTGATCAGTTATGAAGTGGAGCCAACCATGCCATTCAGGTGGAACCTGAGAAGCATTATACCTACTCTTCTCTGCATATTCAACCCACCTGTGTCTTCCTGCAAATTTTATGAAAATCATAATTTTTATCAATTCGTTATTATGAACAACTGGGGAGTTTTATAGAATATAGACCGAAGTTTGAGTCTTGAATCGTTTACAAGTATATGTACCATAGAAGATAGAAGATCATTAATAAAAAAATGAACTATGGTGGATCACAACATTAAAAAAAAAAAAAAAAATGATAGCATAACTTAATTTGACATGAATAATGATGATAGCTCAAATCAAGTACCATATCCATGAATACATATTAATTTTGGCAAAAGTCATAATAAGCACATAAAATGTTCAAATTCAATGCAGCAAAGACATATTCAAACAAATGGGAAAAATAAAAATAAAAAAATAGAATAAATTGGTTTAGTTTTTTATTTCAATTATTTTATAGGGTAAAATATACATTACACCCTTCAAGTCTGGTCCATTTTCCCACTTGGATGCCTTGAATTTGGTAAAATGTGTCAGATTGGGTGTTACATTTAATGGAGAAACCATAAACACTTATTGGTAATTCATTTAGCTATTGCAACTCAGCCTAGATTTTGTTTTTGCCAATTCAACCCGACTCTTCCTCTTATTGTCCCTTTTATTCCTCAATAATTACACCCGCGCTATTGATTTCCAATAACCCATTTTCCACCACTCATCAGACCCTACAAGCAGCATTCAGTAAAAAGCTTCAATATCTTTCTCTGTTTCAAAGATTGCCCCCTCGGTATGTATGTACACAAACAATCCTCTCAAATTGATTGCAGTTCTGTTTGTTGTGTTTACTTGTAAAGTTTGTAGTAACTCCAAGACAGACTTATCATCCTTTAGAAGGATTCAACTCTGTACAGAAACTGTTTTGATGAAGCATTTTAAAATCCATAGCATTTCATCATATCCTTTTTTTTGTTCATTATGTCATAGTGAGACAGCCATGTGAAATAATCAGAACGCTTGATTTAAATGGTTGCTGCCCAAGTGCATGGTAAGCACCTTCACTAGTCCTTAGCTAGTCTTGGACTCAAGGGGTTAGTTTTCACTGTTTTTTTTTTCAGCCCTGAGTAATTTATTAGACTAACCACATATACATACAGATTGAGACACACTAACCATATTGTGTGTTTTCAAGTTTCTCATAGTACTTGTTGCCAAATTTATCAACACCAACAAGCCTAGCCCCAATATTGTGGATCTTGGTTTGCCTGCACAAATTCAGAAAATAATTAGACTGGAAGGGGAGAAATACTGGTATCAAAAGGGAGTTCAAATCTCACAGTAAAATACAAATAAACAGTAGAGCTATATCACTATATAAAAGTTGTGCCCTTCGCCAACTTTACAGAAACTTGATCTCTATTTTGACAGATTGGGGCCATCTACAAGAAAAAAAAATCTAAATCTAATTGCAATGAACCACAAACGTTCAATTAACCTAGAGAATAACTTTCTACGTCTATTGCAACTTGCAATCAAGAGAGCCATTTGAAGTGACAAAAGCTAATGCCATAGTTTATTTTTCAACGCATTCTTGTCCTTTTCATTTTCCTACTAAAATAATTGGAAAGGCTCCTTCTATTGCATCAACTATTCTATTATGCATCTCTACATCCTATCTTTTCATCAAGCACTTAAAAACAACAGCAAGGAGAATCCATAAGCTAAAAAAACAGAGTGTTTGGCTTTCAAACTACATAAATCGCGAAATGACAAGAAAGAGTAAAAGCTGAAGCAAAGTAATTGACTTACAAGAGGTTTCCATCGGGAAGGCACCTCCTGAAAGTTCAAACCATGATAAAAAAAAGATATCAGCACAACCCACAAAAGATAAATCTACTGTGTTCATCAAATCAAGGAACCCTCAATTACTTCAACAGACATTTCTCCAAAGAAAGCACCACAAAATTCCTTTAATAACCGCAACATTAAATAAATAAATAAAAGAGCAATTAAATCAAATTTGAGGTTAATTTCAACTCGTAAATTGGATTTTCCGGAGAAAGAGAAATAGAAAAGTGGTGGGAAACAATTAACACAGTCATGAAGTGAATAATCAGAGTTTGAAGTGAATAACCATAGCATTATCCTTAACACAAAAGCCAATAAGATTCGTGAAATTGAATAATATGTACAATTAATTGCAGAATTTTGAAGCGATATAAGGTGCAGTGCAAGGAAACAAATCAGAAAATGGAAAGGGGAAAATGAAAGGGACAAACAGGAAGCCTTCATCCTTGAGCTCTCTGAGAAAAGCGCCGAAACCCTTGTCTTTTATGGATTGCATTACGTGCTTCACCACCGAACCCATGTTTCTCTCCACACCCGAATCGATTCAAATCCAATAGTAACCAGAGAGAGAGAGAGAGAGATGAATACTTTTCTTCTTTCCTATTACTCGATAAAAATAATAAAATATGATTCGTTAATATGTTGTTTCGGATTGTCAAAAATAAAAATTCCGTGTTAATAAATGTCAATAATTAAATATGGGCTTTGTTCTTCTCCTTTCCTGGGAGAAGAATTTTTTTTTGCAACACACACTATTTTTTAATGGGTTCCACAATATATTAACTTAAAAAATATAAAAAAAATATAAAAAAAAAAACAATGTATCTTAAGCAGGAGAATAGCCTTCTGCAGTCGCAGCAGCCGAAGCTATTCTCCCATTAAATATACAGTATATTCCACAAAATTACTTTCCTTCCTCTCCTTTTTCTAATTCGAAGGAAAGCATGAAAAAGTAATGAAACTCACAAATATATTTTTCTAAATTTTTTTTTATTAATACTATATCAAATAATAAATAAGCCTAATCTCATTATTTATTTATTTATTTTTTAGTAAAAAGCTAAGGGGACGTTTGGTTCGAGAGACAAAAAAATTTACTAAAGAAATAGAATTACTAAGAATATTGTGGAAAAGTAATTTTAGTAGAAAAGTTTAAAAAAAATTATTTGGTACGCTGAAATATTACCGGAGAAATTGGGTTAAATTTCCGCAATGTATGTTGGGTTAAAGGTAAAATATTAATGGAAAAATTGATTAAAAATACTAAAATACCCCTTTTTAAAAACTTTTTGAACGTGAATTACCGTTGTGTAAAGTCTGTATCTGGTCTACATTTGGTTCTCCTTTTTGCCCATTTAGCCGGTCAAATCCAAATACCACCTCCAAATTGTCTTTCTGAACAGTGACTTCTATATGATTTTTGCAATCATTTCTCAAACACTATGCAAATATGGTGCCGGGGGAAAATTTCAAATCTCTTTACCAAACATGGCTTACACACTTTGCCAACCTCAGATGCATGGGGAAATATTTAGATAAACCTGAAGCAAACGCCCCTAAAGGTGGTGTTTGGTTCAAGTGAAAATTTTAGTTCACCAGAAAAATGTAATTACCAGGGATCTATAGGGAAAGTGAATTAGATAGGAAAGTTAAAAAAAGTTGTTTGGTTGGGCCAAATATTATCAGGCAAATTGATTAAAGTTTTTGAAACCTATGTTTGGTTGAGGATAAAATATTGATGTGTAAATGGTATATAATTACAAATATAACCCAATAATAATATCCTATTATTAATACTAGTGGCCAGTGCATATTTACATGAGGGTATTTTGGTCTGCTTTGGGTTGTCATTTTGCCATTTAGCCGGCTAACCAAGAAACACCACCTCCAAGTTGTCTTTCCTAACAGCGACAAATGCTTCCTTTCTACGACCAAATCTTGAATGCTATGCAAATATAATAGATGGGGAAATTTTTGAAAACGGTCTACCAAACATGGGTGTCTTACTTTACCAATTTTATTTGCATAGGCAATTTTTAAGAAACACTGAACCAAACACCACCTAAAGGTATTCTCATTCAACCTACTTGAGTCACTTTATTCTTGGAGTACGATCCTAAAGATTATTTCCTCATTGAAATAGCAGATAGATTGGGTTATGCCATCCGAAAAAGTACGAAACTAATCCCTCTAGTGAGGGGAAACCTTTTTCCTCTTGCTGCTAAATCATTTCAAAAATTTGCATTACGCAAAGAATCAAACCTGAGAAACTCAAACTCATGGGCACTCCAACTCGCTGGTTGAGCTATCCTTAGAGTTTATTCTTTTCTTTTTAACTGATACAAAATTTTTTTGAGAAAAATTAATATAAGAGTAAATATTATTTTTGGTCCCTGGCAATATCTATTAAACCCTTATTGGTCCCTAGCAATAAAAAATGGACATAGTGGTCCCTTAAATTAAAAAAAAGGCCACGTTAGTCCTTCTGTTAAATCCCATCCAACAGCCTATCTAACAGTGCACACTTGGCACGTTAGTTTGCTGACGCAGATTTGAGTGGTCCACTATGGATGCTGAGACGACAACGTTTTGATAATCAGTTGCATCTTCATCGTCGTGTGGACACCTTACCTGGCATAAGTTGCATCTCCAACACGTTGGGGTAAATTGGGAACCCTAAATCAGCCTTAATCAACCCGCAACAAAAAAATCCCTCAAATTCTCCGGACGTTGATGACTGAAAATCGACGACAGTCGAAGACCTTTATTGGATTTGCTGGGGCGTAGGAGAAGATGATTATTTCTTCTGGCATGGGGGGATCAAGTGAGAGTACTTCAATAGGGAGAAGAACACTAACAAGGACTGCCGGTCGTAGATGCAAATGTGGGAGATAAAGTATCGTCTATACCTCCAAAGCTGAGAGAAACTCAAACAGGGCATTCTTTGGGTGCCCTAATTTCAAGTTATACATGTGTAGTGTGAAGGTATTTAAGTTGAAACACTTGCTTACCGTGGTTTGTTATTTTGGCAGGAGAAGAAGTCGTTTTGTGATTTTTTTAGATGGCTAGATGACGTCTGTAATGAAAGGACGGAGATGGAAAATGGAAGAATACACAAAGTGAAGTTGGATGTTGCTGAAATGGATTTCAAGTTGAAGTATCTGGACATGATGATGAGTGAGCAATTGCAAGTTAAGCTGAATGACCAAGGTGTGCAGATTATTGAGCAAGAATTGAAGCTTAATGACCAAGAAATAAAGCTGAATGAGCTATACCTGAAGATGGTTTCAAAGTTAGATAGGGTGGACAAGGAAATTAGGCATGTTGGTAGGTCAGCTAGGGTCTTAGTTGCTTCTTGTGTAGGTGTGATCATCATTTGTATTTTTGTTGTTAGTGTGGTAACAATCAAAACAAGTGAACCCAATGTATTTTTCCTTCAATGAAGTGTAATGAGTACTCAGTACTCTTTTGAGCAAATTAATAAAGAAGCTTTTATTATATGACTTATTTTGTGTTGGTTCGAATCTGTCTGCGTCATATATTTGGATCTGATTAATAAAGAAGCTTTTATTATATTCCTTTCCATCTGATTGCATCATATATTTCTGTATCCAATGCCATCTCAAGCTCATGGATTATAAGCATTGAGCTATTATACTGCATACATAGGCTGGAATCAATGTATCAGTTTGCTGCATTGTATCACAAATCACAAACTATAGATATATATGTTAAATCAACAAATCATTGTATCAGAAGTTCCAAGTTAGACTGCATATTTGTTAATCATGTTAAAATCACGAGGCCCCTTTTGGTCCCTGACAAAATACACGAGGCCCTTATTGGTTCCTGACAAAAACCACGGGGCCTTTTTTGGTCCCTAACTAAATAAAACAGGGACATGAAATCAGAGGATTTCTATGCAATCAAATTTGTTAAACCAGAAGACATGGATGTACAACAATCTGAAGTTCAGCTTTCTAAATCATGAAATCACTTGAAGGACATTTCAACCAACCACAACTATATATGTTAAATGCAATCATAAAAGGTAAAGTTAGACATTCATCAACCCTATGAAACATCATTGTTGGAACATCATATGAGTATCATTATATTTGAAGACATGGATGTACAGTAGTGCATTACAAAATAAAGCCAACTGCCAGGAATTAAAAGAAAGGCCTCTAATACCATTTCATTTGGCTTCAGCCACAACATCTGCTTACAACTCTCATACCCATAACCCTTGAACAGAGTTTCAAGGTCACACAGGTTCACAAAATCAGCATCCATCTCAGGTAAATCATCTACTTTACCATTTACATAGGTTAGGACCCCTTCATCATTTCTGACTAACACACCCCCATGATGATACCTTATCACTATATATTTATCCATCTGTAAAACAAACAGACCACATGACATTTACTTCACACTACCAAAAGGCTATTGCAATTATATTTCACAATGTTAACAAGCAATCATTTTTTTCAACAATATCAATATGCATATATAACTCAATACTTGAGGAGAAACATACAGTACAATGGCAGTCACAGACAAAAACATGTCAACTTTACAAAATAGGCATGCAATTCATTTACCCAACATGAGGGTCGACAAAACACTAAAAAATGGCAAAACACTACTGAAACAGGGACCACATACATAAAAAGGGTTTGTTTTTTCTAAACCTTAACCAAAAATAAAACAGGGACCACACATGGGGGACCATATTCAACATAAAATACACAACAATTGTGAGGGGGGGGGGGACCACATATAAAGATAAATTTCTAACAACACGTACCTTCGTGCATGTGAGTTAACACCCACAATCGTACTTTCTTGAACCACCAAAGAAGCAGTCGTTCCAAATCCTTCCAAGTCCACGCGCGATTGCCTTGCCAGAAACCACCCCAACTCACAAGTCACAATGCTCACGGTTCAACGAAGCTCACCAGTAAACATTGGGGTTCTTCGCAAGTAACCTCCTAAGTCAGTGTGTATGTCTAACAACGATAAGGTTCAATGTAGTTGATGAGTAATCTCAACTCAACAAACGACGTCGTCTGCTTATAATATATCCACTCAACTGATTATCAAAACGTCGTCGTCTCAATATACACGGTGGACCACTCAAATCCGTGTCAGCAAACTAACGTGTCAAGTGTGCACCGTTAATTGGGCCGTTGGATGAGATTTAACAAAAGGATTAACGTGGCCTGTTTTTTGTAATTTAAGGGACCACTATATCCCTTTTTTATTGCTAGGGACCAATAAGGCTTCGTGGATATTGCCAGGGATCAAAAAAGATATTTACTCTTAATATAATCCTATATCACCAAGTTTATATACACACACTAAACCTTAATGATTTCTCTTTATTTTTCTTCACTTTTTTATATTTATTTTTAATTTAAAATTTGGAACATAAATATGTATTTGATAAAATAAATAAATAGTCAAAATATATTCGACTGCCGAGTCATCTTTGGGACGGATCAAATGAGCCGAACGTGGGTATTTATATCATTCATTAAATATTTTTAATTATTCAATTAAAAAATAACATAATTTACATTATAATTTATAGGGTGAAAAATAAGCTAAAATTTAGATTATAATTCATATACTTACAATCTATTTTCGTTTATAACCTCTTACAACCACATCTTAACCATTGATTTTCGTCAATCTGATGGTTATAATTTATTGAGAATTAATAATTAATTAACAAATACGAAATAATAGATTATAACTATTACATTGATAGAAATCAACGATTAAGATATGATTATAAGAGGTTGTAAATGAAAAAAGGTTGAAAGTATAACATTTCTCAATTAAAAAAAATAGATATTGTGAACAAAGACCATTATTCTATCTTGAATACTCCTTGTAAAATACTATAAATGTATTGAAAAATATATATTTTTAGATAAACCATAAGTATACTCCACGGACGGAAATTTTATTCGCGATGAATTGAGGTTAAATATAAATGAGTAACAATAGTTGTTTAGAAAAAGGGAAAAATGTTTTTTCTTTATAAATAGGGAAAACTGTTTAATATTATGTCTGGAGTGATCAAAATAAATAAAATGAAGGTAAATATAAATGAATAACTTTAGATGTTTTTTATTTTGATTATTTAAAATATTATAGAATAAATTGGAACATGATGAAATTTATGTAATCCAACGCCTTTCTTTTTCTTTCTCTTAATTTATAGGATGAGCTTATGAAAAAAGTGATTTTTATGCCTTACTTATTATAAAAGTGTTTTTTATAAAAATTAAAGTTATTTAGATTTTTTGAAAAATATTTACCTTTTGATTTCTGATTTTTTCAGAAATTTAAATTTTTAACTTCAAAAAAACATATTTTTAATTTTTGTGTGGCTTCTACTCTTTTTTGAAATAGATATCCAAACAGAGTTTGTAGTGAAAATGATTTTTTTTTTTGATAAAAAAAAAAAACAGCTTTTGTGTTTGTCAAACGGGCTCTATATGAAACTAACTTATTATTTACCAATCTCCTTATAATTGTGTTCGCTTCTCCAATATAAAATATAATATAATATCAGATAGTAGTAGCTCAGTTAGTATATGAATGCTAAGCAAGTAGGGATATGAGTATGTATTTGATCCTCCTCAGTATCATCTTTGAGAAGCGTTTAAAGTCTTAATCAGTGTTTTAAAAACCGGCTCGAACTGACGGGTCGACCCGGGTCTCGGTGATCCGATGGGTTCCCCGGTCCGAGCCATCCTTTAGATCGGTTCTGCAGTCAACCCGATTTGGACTGGTTGACTCGGCCGAGACTCGGTGACCCGATTAACCCGGGTTAGATCGGTTGACCATCTTTTTTTTTTTGTAAAACCTTTTTTTGTAAATATTTTTTTTTTGCTATGAACTCTTGAATTAAATCATGTTCATATTTTGTGATAAATATAATTAAAAAGTAAGGTAAAAATAAGAATGTATTTTGGATTAGTGCAGTTCGTTTATGTAATTTAGTTGTATCTTATAATGATCTAAAGAAATTAAGTGGGGATAAACTCTGATGATCTCATCTGGTAGAAACTTTCTCCTTAGTGTATATTTCATGCCTACTATTTGTTATCATGATTTAATTTATGTGTGTTATGTCAATGCAAAAAAAGTGCATTTAGCTTACATTGCAATTTTACTCCAATGTTAGGGTATGGTCTAGAGCTAGAAGTTTAGAAGTATATAATATTTGTTATCATTGAGAACCAATTTATTTTTTGAAGCTCATTGGTAGTTTTCTTATGTGAATTTTTAATATAAGTAATATGTTTATATTTTTTTAATATGTGAACAGTAAATCCGATTGAACCCAGTTGAACCATTGACCGAGTGACTCAGTACATCGACCGAGTCGATGACCGATTCGAGTTTTAAAACACTGGTCTTAATCTTGAACTTACGTCGAATCAGATTAGTCGCGAAACGATGAATCGATTGGAATGTTTTCAAAAAAAATAAAAAATAAAATAATTTTATTCTATCGCATCACATCACATCCTGTGTATAACAAATTTGAGTTCTTATTTTTGGGAATGGGATAATCTTTATACGTGCCCTCCTGCTTATACAGTCACATGTCTTTCTCATTTTGTAACATACCTATTGCTCTTATAAGTTTTCATATCATATTAAATTAATATTCTTTATTTTAACTTTTGCTATTACCAATAAAATAATATTTTATCAATTAAATCAGTATTCAATTATTATCAAGATGCTTATTTATTCTATTTAACATTACCTATAATTAGATATTCTAATTTCTAACATAAACACAATTCTTTTAAAAAATGAGTTATTAAAAATATAGTTGTACACTGGAACAGTGATCAAAATGTTACTGTTCATCAACTTTTTATTTAAATGCTACGCGAACAGTTTTATTTTTCGATCTGTCACGGGGGCGAGTTCGCTACCCGGTGTAGCGAACTCGATATGCTGACATGTCACGTTTCTAGTGGACACCAAGTTCGTTACCCTATGTAGCGACCTTCAAATTTTTTTTTTTTTTAATTTGGTACTTGTTATCTACTAGAAATGTAACACGTCAGCAAACTGAGTTTGCTACATCGGGTAACGAACTTGTCCCATGGCAAATTGGGAAATAAAACTGTTCGCGTGACATTTAAGTAAAAAAGTTGGTGAAGAGTGACACTTTGGTGAGTGTTTCATTGTACACTTGTGCTAACTTTTTAATTGGCCTGTCCACACAATAGCATACGTGGCGAAATCTTGCTTTGTACTCTTACATCATTTTATTTTATTTTTATTTTTGAAGTTGATTGATTAAAATTTAAGACTAAAATTGGAAATGCACGGCGAGAGCGAGAGGTAGAAGAGGAGGTGACGAAGTTGGTGGTCACCGACATTTGTATTTTCCGTTCCAACTTCAACATACGAACTCTGAGCATTCAATTCCAACTGGTATATAATTTCTTCAAACAATTCTTTTTCATTCTTTTTTCATGTTTCATTTTTTTTCTTCTCAAATTTCTGTAATATCATCATGTTGATCTGATTCCAAGATAGGGCTTATCCTGTTCGGTGGATTCATCTAAAGAAACCGTGCTTTCTGTTCTACTTTGGGATAATAATGATTTAGTTTCTTTCTTCTTTTTCTTTTCTATAATTTGAATATGCAGATTGCAAATTGTTCATTGTATTGGTTTACATTTTTCTCGGTATTTTTCTAAAGTCAAATAATGAATGACTAGCTCAATAACCTATATTGTTCCTTTGGCACCTTTCTTAATCGATTTATTTTTCATTTTCTCGATTTTTTTGGTTGCTTAGCTACCATTTTTAAGGGGGGAAAGAATGTGAGGTCATTTATGTTTATTTCGTTTGATTGATGCTTCTGTATGGAACACTCAAATGCATATGTAGGACAGATTGATGATAACAGGTGTAATTGAGTACGGTTTTCAGATGCTGATTAAATGATTATTTTGACTTTGTGTAGAGGAAAAATGATGAGGCTGAAGACATATGCGGGTCTTAGTTTGATTGCAACCCTGGCTATTGCATATCATGCATTTAACAGTAGAGGCCAGTTTTATCCGGCCATGGTGTATCTGTCAACTTCCAAGATCAGTTTGGTGCTTCTTCTCAACATGGGTTTGGTCATTATGTGTATTCTGTGGCAATTAACAAAAAAGGTATTCCTGGGCTCCCTCCGAGAGGCTGAGGTCGAGAGGCTTAATGAGCAATCATGGAGGGAGGTTACGGAAATCCTCTTTGCAATTACTATTTTTAGACAGGACTTCTCTGTTACTTTCCTTGCGATGGTCACAGCACTATTGTTAATCAAGGCTTTGCATTGGTTGGCTCAAAAGAGAGTCGAGTACATCGAGACCACTCCTTCAGTCCCCATGTTGTCCCATATTCGAATTGTATCTTTTATGGGTTTCCTTCTTCTTCTCGATAGCCTTTTCTTATACAGTTCTACGAAGCATTTGATAGAAACGTGGCAGGCTTCAGTTTCACTATTCTTTTCTTTCGAGTAAGCCTTCTTCCTTTTCCTCCTCTCAAATGAGTTGCAACACTTAAATAATGTAAATTGAACACTACGAATAGTACTGGGGCAGAATTACTGTTGGATGAGATTGATAATACCCTTTTCATTTTTCTCATTTTTCACTTTGTTTCAACTTTGATTCAATTTTGCATAAATCCAACTAGACCATGTTGATAGATGAAATTTCACATTATGGTTGAATTCCTGAATTTTCTTTTTGGACAATGATAACTAATGAATTGGTGATCAGAAATTATAATTTCCTGTTCTGTAATCGAGCTCTTCATTTTTTTGGAATATCCTGACATAGTTAAGAAGAAAGTACGAGAAAGGAAAATTTATTCTACAATGATATCATCAGAGTCATTTGGTGTAGGGAAAAAAATAGTTATCTGAGTATACACTAAACCATATGGCAGCAATTACAAATGATAAATTATAAAATTCTTGATTTTTGGTGCAATGGCTGCATTGTTTGCTTTCTTAATATTAATCTTATCAAATTATGAGGATCTTACATGTCATACTCAATAAATCAAATAATGAGGATCTTACATGTGATACTCAATAAATCAAATAATGAGGATCTTATATGTGATACTCAATAAATCATATTATTATACTTATTCGTAAAATAACTTATGTCGTTATGTTTTTATTTTATACCAAATAATAAAATTATAGGATACCTATATGAGTTATGCTAACTAGGACTTGTACTAAGCATGCTAACAGGGAATATATTTATACTTTTTGTAATTTCTCATATACCTTCTGTTTGAGGCATTATATTTTTGTAGGGTTGTGGTTTTGAAATAATATATATTAGGGTGTTTTATTTGACAAATTGTCTGTTTCTATCTCAGGTACATGATACTGGCGACAACCACGGTTTCAATTTTCATAAAATATATTTTCTATGTCAGTGACATGCTTATGGAAGGACAATGGGAAAGGAAACCGGTCTTCACATTTTACCTTGAACTTATTAGGGACTTGCTTCACTTGTCTATGTATCTGTGCTTCTTTCTTGTAATTTTCGTGTAAGTAATCAGTCAACTCTTCTTGTATCTATGTATGGTAGCCTTCATATTATTTACTACAGTAGTCATAGTCTCTGTTTTTGTGTTTGTCTCATTTAGCTGTTGGACTGCACTTCGAATCAGAGTTACTGTAATATTTGACTATGATACTTTTAGTTTCGGTTATATTAACATGTATATATTTGGTTTATTTGTTTTTCATGCTTGTCTTAGTTTGGTTTATTTTAACCTACACTGGTTATCTGTTTTACCTGCTAACTTTAAGTTTATCTTTTAGAAACTATGGTATTCCCTTGCACCTAATACGGGAGCTGTATGAGACATTTAGGAACTTCAAAGTTCGTGTTGCGGATTACATACGATATCGTAAGATCACTTCAAATATGAATGGTCGATTTCCAGATGCAACCCCTGAAGAGCTTAATGCGTGAGTTCTAAACTTGGTATAGCATCTCTGCTTATTAATTTGATATTTTTGCATACCAAATATATATATATTTTTAAATGGCTATGCAGAAGTGATGCAACCTGCATTATCTGTCGTGAAGAGATGACTACAGCCAAGAAACTTTTATGTGGACATCTTTTTCATGTTCATTGCCTCCGATCATGGCTGGAGCGGCAGCATACTTGCCCTACCTGCAGAGCCTTGGTTGTACAACCAGAAAATGGGACAACTGCTGCTGGAGGGCAGCAAGGATCACAGTCAGATGGTCATAGACAGGGTAATCATATGATAATCACTCACTGTAGGTAAATAGTGTTCATAAAACATGATAGTAAAGTCAAGGTGTCAGAATTGAACTGATATTTTTTCCAGCTATGCATACAATACAGTTTTTTTGGAATAAAAAATGGAAAAATAGAGTTGGAAATATGATCCTGAATTCCTGACAAATAAATGCTATTGCAATCTGCATCTTTCGCCACATATTCATTTTTTAAATCATCTTCATTTTTAATGCATAATCTGTATTGTGAAAATTTTCTCATTCATTTTCTTGTATATTTCATGCGAAGAGCTCCCAAAGATACTATTTGTATTTTTTTACATATATTAGTTTACCTTTAAAACCTTGTTTTCTTTTAATTTTGGGGGATTATGTTGCCTGCCGGAGTCTAAATACTGTTTAAGATATTTTGAACGTAGTACCTGTAATATTAAATAAACATATTGCTTAATGCTTACCTTGTCATTTTAAATATTGTGGCTTTGCATATATGTTAAGTCAGTTTATTATTTAATAGTGATTATTTTAACCTGGAGCAGGAATTGGAAGCACAGCTCAGACTGAGGATGGCAGTGGGGTGGCAACTGATAGTTTGAGTCGGCATCAAGCCAGACTCCAAGCGGCTGCAGCTGCAGCTTCAATTTATGAGAAGTCTTATGTTTACCCCTCTGCAACTTCTTTAGTATGGTATGGTATTTCTGCTTGAACAATATCCCTCTTTTTCTACAACTGCTTAAGAAATCAGTTTATGCTTTGCAATCTTGCTGGTATTGATACTATACATTCATCTTCTAAAACAAGAAAAGGTGCATAAACGCTAAATTTGCTGAATTTTATTATAAAATATAAACATAATTTTAGAACTCTTAAAATAGTATGAACGTTGAGCAAACTTCATTGAGACATTTTCTATTGCTTGGCACCTGCTTGGGGAGGTGCCTTCCCTTGTATTTCTTGACTATAAAAAATATCTTTGTTTTTCAAGCCAAAAAACAAAAATTAAGCTTGATTGCTGGATTTGTTCTTGAATCCAATACAATAAAGTTGATCTGATTTTGGAAAATATAGAATCTTAAAATTATGAATTGCTGCTTTGGTATAAAAGTATCTTTCTGTACAATTATTGACTAAATCTGGCGAATACATTGCAACAGTTGTATCACCAACCTGTCTTATCAGATTTAATAATCATACTGTGTTGTGAACTTTGCTACATTACATTTCACTCATTATTCTCCCTCTTAGTTCACCTGTTTGGTTAGATGACTGGTTAATAAGGCAAAGGATCAATGTAGTGGTCGTAAGTGTTACTCAAAAAACTGATATACTGAATTAGTCTATTACGTTTGTACTAAACAAGGCGTGTTCTCCAACTCACAGTTCTCCCGGGTACACTTTTTATCCCCCGGTTCAAATACCTATGGCTGAAACTACTAATTCTGAGCTTAATGGAGAACAAGCTTCACGTGAACAGGCACAAAATCAGTTTCTTATCCCTGGTGGACCGTCAAATGTATCCTTTCCTCCAATGGGACACTTCCATTTTCTACCTTCCCAACCACATGCAGCCCCGGTGAATTATGGAGAGGAGTTTGGAAATGATCCAAACATCCTAAGATCTCCGCTGGAAGCTCAAAGAAAATTTCTTCAATACCAGATTGAGGTAAAATTGCACTTTCTTTTTTCTTTACCTCCACACAGTGAGTGGCATGTGTCATCTTGGTTTTACCTGAATATAAAGGGTCATGTGCTTATGGTGTCTATCAAATTAATATTCCCTTCTCACTGACTGTGTTCTTAATTCTGCAACTCCAGTTAGGGACATACACGGATATTATTATTACTAGTTTTCACAATTAGGCTTCTATGAGCACTTAATCAAAGCAAATAAATACTTTTCACAATTAGGCTTCTACAAGCACTTATCCATAGCAAACAAATTCGTACAAATGTTTTTTTTTATTTGATTACGACATTCTAAAATATCATGCTCAACTGTGGATGGCATGTACACGAGTATCTACATTATTTCATTCTACGATTGTGACAAGGGTTTGGAAATTGATGTCCATGTTTATAGTAATTGAAGTAAAGGGATTGATCGACTCCCTTACACTTGACACGTTGAAGCCAAGGGCAGCTTTGTGGCACTACAAACATCGTGTCCTTAGCATTAAAGTCTTATCTGGTTTGCACTGCATCAATGTTTTCGGGGCATGGTCTCTTTCACTGTGTAATCAAATTGTTGGATAAAGATCGAATTGCATAGTTTTGAATGAAGGTGAAATTAATCATAGTAACTCACGGTAGATATTTTTTCCCCTCACAGATTCTGCAAAATCAGCTCCAGATTCTGCAGAGGACGAAGACTGAAAAAAGTATGGATGACGGTACATCATCATCAGATAGCAGAGGCAAGCTTATACTTTCCTCGTCATCTGTATCTGGTCAAGACGGAAAAGCATAAAGTTGGCTGCATATTTCTGTTTTATACCAGCTGACTGCCAAATGTAGATAGATATAGGAAGAGGGAAATACAGAAATCACAGCATTGCTCTAATGTGACATCTGTTCTTCGTGATACTAATCTTGTAAATGCATAGTGCCCTTAAAAGTGATTAATTTTGGCTTTTTTCATTAAATCTGGAATGTTTGATTGTATTAGCTTTTAAAAAATTATTGACCTTTTAGTCTTCAATATACGAAATATGATGACTGCTCGGTTATAGTTAAATTGTATGTGTTGATGCTAGTGGCTGGATTAATTTGGCAAAGTGAGAAGTTCTGTATTGTATCATTGTGTGGCTAATTTGTTGTAAATTTCGGAGGATATACCGGTTTCCAACTGTGCAGGGAAAGGATAAAAGTCCATGTAAACTGTACAGTATCTACTATGATGTATAGAAACTGGATAATATCGAAGGTGTTGCGTTATCTTTTACCGAATTCAGGATTGGGACTTAAACAAGTCTAACATGCTAGTGAGAAGGGACTTAATGACTTCAGATATGTGGACGGAATTGCTAGGATATGATTTTGATGCTGGTGAAGTTGTTGCCACTTATGACATGAAGTATCATAATCAGTGGCGGACCCAGGAAAAAAAATTTATGTCCACACAATCAGTGCGGGGTTCGGGGGCAGCGCCCCAGAATTTTTTTTTTTATATAAAAGTTTAAATCAACGCTTGAACCCGCTCATAATCTAGTTGCTTCCATAACAAGCTGCAGACAATAGTTTGACCAATTATTTTCCCCCTAAATCTTATCAATCCTTCAAAACAAATATGAGAATATACTCCAGTACATCCATACATCATCATTCTATTTTGGGATATGTTATTTTACCTAACATTTTTCTGCCTACCTTTGCCTACCACTCTCCAATACCGTTAGATCAAAATCTCAAGAAGAGAGAAAAAGATAAATGTTAGTTAAGATTCTGATCTAACGGTGTTGGAGGGTGGTAGGTAGAGGTAGGCAAAAAAATGGTAAGTAGAATAACCTATCCCTTCTATTTTATAGTGGTGAATAAAAAAGTTAACACTACCTATACAGAAGTAAAACAAAATCACAGTGAAGGTCTCGTCTCTAGATATTAACTTATTTGAGAATGTCAGACCTACAATCAATCATCTCTTTTTATAAAAATAAAAAAGGAAACAAAGGATGAAGAGAACGTGGAAATGAGTACGTGACAAGGGAGGAGGAATAAGTTTTCTTTCTAATCAATGTGCGTTGTTGCGTTGTTTTAATCATCTTCGTACGTTGTTACGTTGCTAACTAATATAAGAATAAATATCCTTTTTGGTCCCTAAAAAAAATTTGGTCCTCACTTTAGTCCATTATAAAAAAAAAATTAGTCACCTGATCCCTATGGACCCACTTTGGTCTTTCTGTGGGACTAGTGTAGGTCTTTTTTGAATTTGTGATGGACCACGATTTTAATTAAATTGATCTACTTTAAATTTTTTAAGGACCTCGAGACTATTTTTTTTTTGTAAAGGACTAAATTGAGAATCATGTTTTTTGTTAGGGACTTAAAAAATTATTTACTCCTAATATATATATTGAATCAAGAGACAAATAACAATCTACAAAAAAAAAAAAAAAAAAAAAATTAAAATCAAAAAGTTTATGACCGCACTTGCGGGCATTTGCCCGCAAGTGGGTCCGCCAATGATCATAATCATATTACTCTATTGATGGTTATAGGATATCTTGTACTGACACCGATACAAATATAGACACGACATGTCGATATGTTAATTTTAAAAATATCATATTTTGATATATTACGACATATTTTGATATTAAATAATATTTTTAATATATATAATATAATTTATATTTAATACATATAACAGCTCATGATAAGTCATATAATCAATGTAATATTCAAATTTCATAACATAAATATAAAACAAAAATAATATTTTATGTCAAATTTTGTAACAGAAAAAAATTGATTTACAAATTATTTTTTCATATTTAATTAATAAAATAAAATTAGACTTAAAAAAAAAATTGTCAAATGCATATCGCAGTGTTGACTGTGTGTCAAAAATTCATATTAAAACGTATCAAAATATTGATCATATGTCCCAAAATATTGACTTTGTGTCGGATGCATGTTAACGTCCGACACTTAAATTGTTTTTTAAAATACATGTCGGTACCACATGTAGTTAGGTTGTTATAGGCATGCTGGCATTTCTGTGCAGAATGACCAGCAAATTTCCCTCTTAATCATGATCTTTCCTATGACTATACTTCTATACCTCAAGAGTTTAATTAATTTATTGCTTAATGCTGATTTTGTATCTTTTCCTACCACTCATCGTGTTTTTGTATTTTCTTAGTTGTCTTCTGTCTGGTTTGTTAGCCCTTCAATTTACTCAAAAATAAATAAATTAATTAATTAAAGTTACTCACATTTTAAATTACTCTTGACTTGTTAGCACCCTATTATCTTATGCAGCATGCAAGTCCGGTTGTTTTTTTTATGGGTTTGTTTTTTCTAAAGTTATTTTAGATAACTTTATTTAATGTTCATCGAAATGACGTCGTTTTGGGACAGAAATCATGGTGTTTTTATAATTTTAATTTTTTTCAGGGTTATAATAGTCTTTATAATTCTAATTTTTTAATTTTTCAACCCCAAAACGACGTCGTTTCGATGAACATTAGACAAAGTTATCTAAAGTAACATCAGAAACTTTTTTCCCTTTTTTTATTTGTGGCATAGCCGTCGTTAGAGTAGAAAAATGGGTAGGTATAGACTTATATCTGTTTTATTCTCTCTCTTTTTCTTTTGGCTTATCATAACTTCTATTAATAAGGCTGATTTGACCTGTTCTAATCTTACGGGATAAATTAGGAGGGTTGCCTTATTATATCTTTGTTAAATCAAAGCATAATAAAATCTCAATCATAAATAATTGATTTTAACTCCCAGAGCGTCCGGCCAGGGCGGCAACTTCACCAACACATTATTAGGACTTAAAAGATCGCGTAATTGAAAATATATATTTTAAGGGAAAAATATTCATGTCTTTATTAAGTTAAATTTATTGAGTTATTTCACCAAAAAAAAAAATTTATTGAGTTAAATTTATTAATTAATTAGTGATTCACAATAAATTATAATAGTTGATCGACAGAAATCAACGATTAAGATTTAAGATAACACAAAAATATATCATTTAAAAACAAATATTTCCCCCATATTTTAATGTAAAGAATTAAACTTACTCAGTACTCTATATTGAGTAAACAAGCTGCTTTGGTATTTTGGTAGGTGGCTCCAATCTCTTGACCATTCAATTCAACTACTCCCATTGAAAATTTAAAATATTCCATGATGACATTTTTTATTTGGTTAGAACTCGGTCGTAACTCGCGACACTCGCAACTACAAGTCGTTAATATATAAATACAAAAGCATGGTGTTGGTGCACGACTCTAATTGCAGATTTCTGCATTTCACTTTGGACGCTATATATATTTTTTATGAGGTTCTCTCTTACCAGCACAAGAGGTAGGTGGCATGAAATGACATTTAAGTCCTAAACTTCTTTGATGAAACTTAACTCGTTAAAAACATATTTATTTAAATTTTTTATTACTTATTTTTTATTTTTTCATTTAAATATACTTAAATGCATTTAAAATTGCTTAAATGGTTTAAATTTGATTATTTTGAGAGAAAAATGTATTTTTTCAAAATGTATTTTTTTAAAAATGTTTTAATTGGAAATTAATTTTAAATATAAAAAAAAATTATTCAAACGCACATTATTTTTAGGGTATTGTTCAAATGCCTTCCATATGATTTACTCTAAGGTCCAAATCCATCCCTAAATTGTGATTTATTAACTAAAATATGTCAAAAATACCATTTGGTTACATAATATATTTTCTATTTTTTTCTTCTCAATTTTTAACTTTTTTAAACTTCAGTCTCACATAATGGACAATGAATAAAATGAACCATATGAACATTGGATTAAAAATATTTCAAAATTAATTCAGATAAAAAAATTAAATTTTCAATATTGAAGTATTTAAGAATAACCTAATTTTTGAATAACTCATTATTTATTTATTCTTTTTTTATCTTATCTTACCCAAAAAAAAAAGAATAAATAAATAATGAGTTGTTCAAAAATTAGGTTATATTATACAGATTAAGTTCAACCCTGCATCGAATTAATGTCAGTACAAATTATTAACTTAAGTATACTGTTTACACAGTATACGAAATTATAGTCAGAGTGGAAGAAAATGATCAAATTATAAGTATAATATTAAAAAAAATAAAAACATATATGTAACAGTAAGATAAAACTATTGAAACTAAATATCCAATTAAAGATACATTCGTTTTCAACAAATATATAAATAAATGCATTTGTTAACATACTTCATATTGCCATGAATCCGGTCATCTTGCACACACGTGAACCACATGTGTGGTTACTGGTGGGAGGGTATTCACTACCTAGGTTGCTAGCCCCAAAAACTGCATAAAAATATAGTGAATTATTGTTCGGCAAATAAACAAATAATAGGGTAGAGAGGGTCTTCGAAGTCATGCGGGGATTACCCACCAAACTCCTTAGGTCATAGTACCTGGTTGTTGAACATAGAAAATGTTTTGAGGCATATCAGTCAAGCACGTGAAACGTTCAGCTACCCTCCAATCTCCTCCCTCAGCCACCCTTACATACATATAAAATCCTCTCTTCTCATAACAAGTTTGCAAGTCATATCTTCTACTAGTAAAGTACTCTTTCAGTTCAATTTGAAGTACTTTGCTATCCAAATACATTTGCTAATTAAAAGCTTAATTTTGAGAGAAGAAGCAAAGATGGTGAGCGTAGCTGAGATCCGAAAGGCTCAAAGGGCAGAAGGTCCAGCTAACATCCTTGCCATTGGCACCGCAAATCCACCAAACTGTGTTGAACAGAGCACCTATCCCGATTTCTACTTCAGAATCACTAACAGTGAGCACAAAACTGAGCTCAAAGAGAAATTCCAGCGCATGTGTAAGCAATCTTTTATTTTTCTCTGTTAATTTAATTCTCCGGTGTTTTTTTTTTCTCTTCCTTTTTTTATCTGAAATGGACTAGCTAATGTTTTCTTTTGGGTTATGAAATCAATATTTACAAGAAATCTTGGAGAAGAATCTACATAAATTAGCATAGATTGAATTGGTTATGATTTTATATAAATTTTGACAACAATTTTAATAAGCATATTAATCTCACTAGTTATTCCTATTGATCGATTTTGGTGATCCTAAATATACGGTATCAATGTCATTTCCTTTCTAACTCCATAACTAATTTCAGGTGACAAGTCTATGATCAAGAGGAGATATATGTACTTGACAGAAGAGATATTAAAAGAGAACCCCAATGTTTGCGCTTACATGGCACCTTCTTTGGATGCAAGGCAAGACATGGTGGTGGTAGAGGTACCAAGACTTGGAAAAGAGGCTGCAACCAAGGCCATAAAAGAATGGGGTCAGCCAAAGTCCAAGATTACCCACTTAGTGGTTTGCACAACAAGTGGTGTAGACATGCCAGGTGCTGATTACCAACTCACTAAACTTCTAGGACTTCGCCCATATGTGAAGAGATACATGATGTATCAACAAGGATGCTTTGCTGGTGGCACTGTGCTTCGTTTGGCCAAAGACTTGGCTGAGAACAACAAAGGTGCTCGTGTCCTTGTTGTTTGCTCTGAGGTTACTGCTGTCACATTCCGTGGTCCAAGTGACACTCACCTTGACAGTCTCGTTGGTCAAGCTTTGTTTGGGGATGGAGCAGCTGCTATCATTGTTGGTTCTGACCCAATTCCTGAAATTGAGAAACCTTTGTTTGAGTTAGTTTGGACTGCACAAACAATTGCTCCAGACAGTGAGGGAGCCATTGATGGTCACCTTCGTGAAGTTGGGCTAACATTTCATCTCCTTAAAGATGTTCCTGGGATTGTCTCAAAGAACATTGATAAGGCTTTGGTTGAGGCTTTCCAGCCATTGAACATCTCTGATTATAACTCCATCTTTTGGATTGCACATCCAGGTGGACCTGCAATTTTAGACCAAGTTGAGCAAAAGTTGGGCCTGAAACCTGAAAAGATGAGGGCCACAAGAGAGGTGCTTAGTGAATATGGTAACATGTCAAGTGCATGCGTTCTCTTCATTTTGGATGAGATGAGGAAGAAATCCGTTAAAGATGGACTTAAAACTACAGGTGAAGGGCTTGAGTGGGGCGTGCTCTTTGGCTTTGGACCTGGACTTACTATTGAAACTGTTGTTCTGCGCAGTGTGGCTATCTAAAATGCCTAATTATTTTATTAAATTACTGTGTGCATTACTTTGCAAACTCGCTTAATGGCTTTGTAGCAACAACAAAAAAGAACTCGTTGTGAGTTTGTTTGAAACTGAATAATAGCAATGGTGTTGCAATATCTCTGACCAAACTCAGGATTGATACTTGAGTTTTGTCTTGCAGAAATTTCCTTCACCCATTGGGATGTAATTGATTTTAGGATCCCCAAATGTTGAAGGAGAAGAAGCTTCTCCTTTTAACAAATTAATATTATATATCACTGGTAATATATAGCTATAATATTGATTTCTCTCTCTGTCACATCAATCAACAGTCTATGAGAAAGGAGAAAAAAAAATAACTTTTAAAATTACAACTAAATACTATTCGTAGTACATAATATTTATTCATTGCAGGAGAATAAAACTTCTCCTATAACATAAGAGTTATATTTCTCTTAATTTTAATCTATCAACCATAATGTTTAAGTATATTAATTGTCGAGTACATTATCACTTTAATATATTTATTATTAATTTGATTATTGAAAAATACATAATATTAATTTAGCTCTTAAAAAGATAAAAACTGGTATGAATTTATTTTAAAACGAAATTGATATTAATTTATTTTTAATAACAATAAATATGTAAATTAGATATTTTTCCATAAAATGTTAATATTATTTTAATCATTTAATAATAAAAGATGAGATTAACTTAATTATTTAATCTCGCAACTTATATAATCAAGGTTAATTTTGATCTAATTTTTCATAATTGAAAGAATAATAATTTTACTCTAACTGATATTTTGGCATAATTAAGGTTCGTTTTTTTTATGTTACGCGCGTGCATAAAGGATTTGGAAATACAAAAACAAATTCAGTATTAAAAGTTGGGTTTGCTTTTTCTACGGTCAATGTAGATAATTTATCTACAATGAGCCCAAAACGACGTCGTTTTGAGGCGGAACTCATGGTATTTTTATAATTATAATTTATTTCAGCGTTATAATAGTCTTTTTCATTATAATTTTTTAATTTTTCAACCCAAAACGACGTCGTTTTAAGAGCGAATATAAATAACTTATTTACATTCAATTTATAAACATTAAAGCCTTAAAAGTTTTATACTTTACACTAGAAGTCACAAAAATATCCTTCCAGTTGAGGAGTTGGTTATGAGGCCAACCATTGCTCAAATTTTTCTTCACCCAATCCCCAATATATAGGGAGAAGAAATCTGAGGGTATATTACCTGAGAACCAAGCAGACCAGAGAGGGACAACCTTACTACAGCCACGGAGAACATAAGAGATGTTTTCCTCTTGATGGTACAGACATGGCAGTAGGGGGATCCTCCCCACTTGGCTATGTGATTTTTGATGAGTAAGCGACCATGATACACCGTCCAAGGAAAATAATGCAACCTTTGAGGGCCTTTCCAATTCCAAATCTTGTTCTCGGTTGGATCCAGATTGAGATTGTCAAAATCCATCAAATTATTGTAAACTAATTTGACCATATTTTTTTGTGGCACATGGCCTTTCCAGGTCAAACTGTTTTTCCCCCTCTCCCTCGAAGGAAGGAGGATAGCACAAATGGACTGCATCACCTTCGTGGGAAGGTTTTTGTCAAGGTCCTAGAATCTTCAGCCCCTAGTTAGATGATCCACCATGTCAGCAACTTTAACTTACACATCAATAGGGAGATGGCTATCAGAAACAGAATCTAGGAGTGGTTTATTTAGGTGTGTCCATCTGTCTTGCCAGAAAAGAATATCTCCCCCACACCCAACATCCCACCTGGTCTATTTAGGTGAGTGATTTCTCACTTAACCCCATGTGTTCAAAGCCTAGTTAGGAGTATCTATTTTTCAACAAACCACTCCTCTAAAAACCACAAATATTTGGCCATAACACAATAGCCTTAAACATTAAAAATCAGCAAAGAACAATATGGAAATCAAGGAAGAACGGACACTTGAAAAAAAAAAAGAGTGTCGTGTCCGACACGCCCACACGCTCCGACACGCGATCAACTTTACCGACAGGTTGACCATTTCGACACGCGAATTTGACCGTGTCCGACACAGTCAAATGGCATTTTTGTAAAAAACATAGTATTTTTTTAAAAAAATTATATTTTAAAAAAACTAAAATATATTAAGGGTTTGGTGTTTGTCATTTTAAATGACATAAGTTATGTCATTTTAGGAGAGAGATAGACACAGAAAAATGGAAATCATGGGAGAGAGAAAGTGAGTGGTTTTTTTTAATTTAAAATTTAAATAAAAAAAATTTATGTGTCTGTCTCTCTCTTAAAAGGATAGAGTGTTATGTCATTTAAAATGACAAACATTTTCCCATATATTAATAAAATTAAATATTTTTAAAAAAGAAATAACATTTAATAAAAACATAAACCTAACCTAGCAGATCATTTCTCTCTCTCTCTGCCATCTATCCGCCTCGCGTCTGCCTCTTTCTCCTCTCCTTCGTTATCGCCTCTCTCGCTGTGGTCTCGGCGGCTGGTCTCTGTCATCTGCCTCTCTCGCTGTGGTCTTTTCGATTTACAGATTTGATTTTTTTTTTTGTTATAAACTAATAACTGGTTTGATTTACTATTCTTTAGCGACGGTGTTTCACTGTTTTGCCATTTACTGGTTCGCTCTTTTGCCATTTACTATTTTTTTCAATAAACTAATAACTAATAACTGGTTCGCTCTTTCGATTTACTGGTTAATTTTTTAAAAAAAAACCATTTACTGTTTTGCCATTTATTTATTTATTGCATATTTCCATATTTTTGCATATTTCCATAACTGGTTTTGCATATTTCCATATTTTTGCATACTTCCATAACACGGTCAATAACTGGTTTTGCATATTTCCATTTTTTTGTAGTATAGGAACACATGTTTTTTAGGATCTAAAATTGATGTAGAAAGGTAACAATGCAAAATGTTTCTTTATTTGATGTAAAAACAAACACGGTCAATTTTTTTAGGAAGAGAGAACAATTTCGGTTTGTCTTTATTTTATTTTATTATTTTATTTGTCTTATTTTAATAGTTTGTTCAATTGGTTTGTTAATGGAATGCTTATGCTACTGTTTTAATTTAATTGTTCTATATTTGCATAAGTAATTATTTTGTTCATAGTGTTTTATTTTATTTTTTTAGAATGGATTCAAGAATTGCAAGTAGTGGAGATGATGAATTTTTAAGGAAGCCATTATGGAAATACGTTACAAAAGTAGGCACCACAAAGGAAGCAAGAGGGAATATATCTTGGAAATGCAATTTTTTTGAAAAGGATATTACAAATTTGTATACTAGAATAAGGGCTCATTTGCTAAAAATAGCAGGTAAAGAAATTGCAAAATGTTTACATGTGCAGACAAAAGACTTGCTAGAGATGGAGAAATCAGAACAAGAAATTAGTGAGAGATTGAAGAGTAATGTGTTGCGACTCGGCAAGTGCACCGGTCGTAAAATAATAAAGTGTACCGGAGTACGAGATCGTTCCCACGAGGATCGGATTTCCAAGCACTAGTTCGCTAATCGCGTTTTAGTTGGACAATCAAGAATTGGATTTGAGAGAATTGTAATTGAAAAATTAAAATTAAAAACAAGCAATAACAAGCAATTAAAAATTCAGAATTAAAAATAACAATTGAAAAGATTATGATTGATTTAAAGAATTAAAACAAGCGTAGTTAGGATTTCGACTTCCCCCAATCTCCTTAATATGTTATGAATTAAACTGTCAAAAATCCATTCTTAATATATTGCCAATCAATTCTTTTTAAGTTAATTAGGGTTCAATTCCTTGTTACCCTAAATCTATGTGATCTCAAAAGAACCCTAGTTCCCCGGTTATTCCCCAAGAAAACATGTATTAAGATCAAGAATTTCAAGATTGCACAATTACCCTATGTCTATCCCTAGATCACAAGGATTGTGATAAATTTATCAAGTCGGGGTTCATGCACCAACATCCCTATTGTCATACAATTCCCCAAAATCATTCTATAAGGAGCAAGCTCATAGAAAGCATTAAAGACAGATAAATTTATTCAATTATAAAAAGAAAAGAATTCGGAGACAATTTAATTCATAAACATAAAGATTCAATTGGGTTCCATCTACCCCTAACTACAGAAAAGTCTAGCCTAGCATACTGAATTCAAAAACAATAGTAAAAAAGAGAGAACCCCAAGCCTCCATTGGTGTGATGTTGACTTGGTTCCTTAGTGTTCCAGCGCTCCGCAACAGGATTCCTCCTTCAGGTCTCTATGTAATTCTCTGGATTGGTTCTAGTGTCAAAAGTCTCCCTTTGAGTGACCCTCGGCTCCCTATTTATAACCTTTGAAGTCATATCTCTTAATCCTCCATCCAATCTTCTCATGAATCTCTATCAAATTTGCAATCAAATCTTTAATTGCTTCCCTTTTATGTCTTTAAGATCTTGTAGATTGGATGACGGATTGAGCTTCGAATCTTTGTTATGATCCCTCTCCAAATCTTGCCAGGTATCTCTATCAGTTGATAAATCAAGACTGATTTGTTCCCGCTTTATTCCAGAAATCACGATCCGGTATCCATAGGCAAATCTCATTAAATCTTATTAAATCTTGGCTGTCTGGTGCGTGTTTTGGCGTTCAAGCGCGCTGTGGGCCGCTTGAGCGTGCTGTTGTGCCTCAATTTGATGTTTCTGCCTGCTTTCACGCGCTCGAGCGTCCATCTGGGCGCTCGAGCGTGCTCCTCGATGGTGAACTCTTCTCTTCTTGGGCGCTTGAGCGTGCATATGTGCGCTTGAGCGTCCTGGATTGCTCAATTTAGCTATTTTCCCTGCCCGCTTGAGCGTCCATTCTATGCACTTGGGATAAGTAATGTGAATTCTAATTTTCGAAAAAATATAAACAAATTTTAGAAATACAAAATGGATATCAAACAACACTTAAAAATAATTAAAACAAAATATACAAAAATTATGAGACGGTCATTATAAATCAAAATAACCTTTGAAATCCATTTAAACGAGCCCGAAACTATTACCATAGAATCCATTTAAAATCCACTAGTTTGGTTACCGGTAGGGGGTATTGAGTACCCAGGTTGCGACGCATGCTTACCTAAGAATTCTCCAAATAAGTGCATAAAATCTGGTCAATTATTGCTTGGAAAATTAAACAAATAAGAGGGTAGAGAAGGTCTTCAATGTCATGCGCGGATCAGCCACCAAACTTTTTGGTCATAATACATGGTTGTTGTTGTTGAATATATATTTTATACATTGAAATGTTTCGAGGCATATTAGCCAAGCACGTGATGTTTAGCTACCCTCCAATCCACTCCCCCAGCCACCCTTACAGACATATAAAATCCTCTCTTTCCCTAACAAGTCTGCAAGTCCTCTTCTATTAGTAAAGTAAAGTACTATTTCAGTTCATATATTTGCTAATTAGAAGCTTAATTTGAGAGAAGAAGAAAAGATGGTGAGCGTAGCTGAGATCCGAAAGGCTCAAAGGGCAGAAGGTCCAGCTAACATCCTTGCCATTGGCACTGCAAATCCACCAAACTGTGTTGAACAGAGCACCTATCCCGATTTCTACTTCAGAATCACTAACAGCGAGCACAAGACCGAGCTCAAAGAGAAATTCCAGCGCATGTGTAAGCAATCTTTTTATCTTTCCATTTTATTTTTCTCTGTTAATTTAATTCTCTAATGTTTTTTTTTTCTCTTCCTTTTTTTATATGAAATGGACTAGCTAATGTTTTTCTTTTGGGTTATGAAATCAATATTTACAAGAAATCCTGGAGAAGAATCTGCATAAATTAGCATAGATTGAATTGGCTCTGATTTTATATAAAATTAGACTACAATTTAATTACAATTTAATAAGCTTATTAATCTCGTAATTTTGCCTTCTTAAATAATGACGCATGTTGTTCTTGATTTGTAATTGATCGATTTTGATGTTGTCTTAAAATTACTATATTAATGTCATTTCTTTCAAACTTTATTACTAATTTCAGGTGACAAGTCTATGATCAAGAGGAGATACATGTACTTAACAGAAGAGATCTTAAAGGAGAACCCAAACGTTTGTGCTTATATGGCACCTTCTTTGGATGCAAGGCAAGACATGGTGGTGGTAGAGGTACCAAGACTAGGAAAAGAGGCTGCAACCAAGGCCATAAAAGAATGGGGTCAGCCAAAGTCCAAGATTACCCACTTAGTGGTCTGCACAACAAGTGGTGTAGACATGCCAGGTGCTGATTACCAACTCACTAAACTTCTAGGACTTCGCCCATATGTGAAGAGATACATGATGTACCAACAAGGATGCTTTGCTGGTGGCACGGTGCTTCGTTTGGCCAAAGACTTGGCTGAGAACAACAAAGGTGCTCGTGTCCTTGTTGTATGCTCTGAGGTTACTGCTGTCACATTCCGTGGTCCAAGTGACACTCACCTTGACAGCCTCGTTGGTCAAGCTTTGTTTGGGGATGGAGCAGCTGCTATCATTGTTGGTTCTGACCCAATTCCTGAAATTGAGAAACCTTTGTTTGAGTTAGTTTGGACTGCACAAACAATTGCTCCAGACAGTGAGGGAGCCATTGATGGTCACCTTCGTGAAGTTGGGCTAACATTTCATCTCCTTAAAGATGTTCCTGGGATTGTCTCAAAGAACATTGATAAGGCTTTGGTTGAGGCCTTCCAGCCATTGAACATCTCTGATTATAACTCCATCTTTTGGATTACACATCCAGGTGGACCTGCAATTTTAGATCAGGTTGAGCAAAAGTTGGGCCTGAAACCTGAAAAGATGAGAGCCACAAGAGAGGTGCTTAGTGAATATGGTAACATGTCAAGTGCATGCGTTCTGTTCATTTTGGATGAAATGAGGAGGAAATCCGTTAAAGATGGACTTAAAACTACAGGTGAAGGGCTTGAATGGGGCGTGCTCTTTGGCTTTGGACCCGGACTTACTATTGAAACTGTTGTTCTGCGCAGTGTGACTATCTAAAATGCCTAATTATTTTATTAAATTACTATGCATTACTTTGCAAACTCGCTTAATGGCTTTGTAGCAAAAAAAAAAGAACTCGTTGTGAGTTTGTTTGAAACTGAATAATAGCAATGGTGTTGCAATATCTCTGACCAAATTCAAGATTGATACTTGAGTTTTGTCTTACAGAAATTTCCTTCACCCATTGGGATGTAATTCATTTTAGGATCCCCAAGTTCTCGTGTTGTAGGAGAAAAAACTTCTCCTTTAACAAATTAATACTATGTTTTATTGGTAGTATATAGCTGTAATATTGATTTCTCTTTCTGCCACAAAAGCCAATAGCCTATGAAAAACAAGAAAAAAAATAACTTTTAAAATTACAACTAAATACTTCTCCTATAACATAAGAGTTATATTTTCCTTAATTTTAATCTTTCAACCATAATGTTTAAGTATATTAATTGTCCAGTACATTATCACTTTAATATATTTATTATTAATTTGATTATTGAAAAAAACAAAAATATTAATTTAGCTCTTAAAAAGATAAAAAGTGGTATGAATTTATTTTAAAACGAAATTGATATTAATTTATTTTGTAATAACAATAAATATGTAAATTAGTTATTTTTCCATAAAATGTTAATGTTATTTTAATCATTTAATAATAAAAGATGAGATCAACTTAATTATTTAATCTCGCAATTTATATATGGGTTTGCATTCATCATGTAACATGACACAAAATTTTTTCCTACACACATAATATTTTGTGAGGCCCGCATTTTTTGAAGCAAAATAAAATAAAATTAAGGCACGCAAAATGAATCTCTACAACATGACACGACCATTTTTCCTACAACATAACTCTTATAAAACCCTTTATATAATCAAGGTTAATTTTGATCTAATTTTTCATAATTGAAAGAATAATAATTTTACTCTAACTGATATTTTGGCATAATTAAGGATAATATTATTATTTTTATGTTACGTGCATAAAGGATTTGGGAATACAAATACAAATTCATTATTAAAAGTTTTATAAACTTTACACTTAAAACTTATCTTATTAACAAAAACATTTAAAAACTTTATCTTTTCAAAATTAATTCTACTCTAACTGATTTTGAGAATAAGAAAATCTAACCAAACTGTATAAATTCATTCGCAAACATGATTGTCCATTGTGCATCAACCCGAACCGATTTATTGAATTGGAAATCCAACCACTAATTGATCCAGTTCAGTTAATTAACCAATCAAAAACAAGTAAACTGGTCATAAATTTGGATTAACCGGTGCTAATCTGATACCGATTTTCTGATTTAATTGGTTCTTGATAATTGTGACAAAATATTTCAGCACAGTAAGTATATATATATATATGGAAAAAATATCTATCCTTTTAAAGGATATAAGTTTATATCCTTTTAGATCTTAACCGTTGATTTCCGTCCATCAACGGTTATAATCTATTGAGCCAAACTTAATGGGCTAAATTTATTATTAATTAATTAATAATTTTAATCCAATAAATTATAACCGTGTGATAAATTTCTCTTAGATCCTAACCGTTGATTTCCGTTCATCAACGGTTATACTCTTATATTACATGTGATAAATTTCTCTCCTACACACCATTCGATAATTGTGTCACTTTTTTCTTTTCTTTTATTTTTATTTTTCAGGTGGTGGAGCCCACAAGTTTTTCTCTATGACATGAGATAACTTATCTCCTTTAACATGAGATTAATAAAACCTTGATTATATATATATATATATATATATATATATATATATATATATATATATATATATATATATATATAGGATCTTTTGACACCTCATCTGAGAACCGTTAGATCAAAAAAGATCAACGACTCTGATTTGTAAGCATGTGACACCATTGAACTTTTTTTATCTAACGGCTATCAAATAAGGTGTCAAATTTCAAATTTGACACTGGTGTCAAAGGATCCTACCTTTTATATATATATATATATATATATATATATATATATATATATATATATAGGCAGTATATTCTTACATCAGTGTAAGAGTTAGAAGTCTTACACTCAATCTTGACCATTGATTCACTTGTATCCAATGGCTCACATTACTAAAAAATTAGAGCCCTTAGTATAAGTGAGATCAACAGACAAGATTAAGAGTCTAACTTACACTGGTATAAAATAATCGTAACCATATATGGGATAGGTTATTCTACCTACATTTTTTTTTGACTACCTTTGCATACCACTCTAAAACACCGTTAGATTAGAATCTTAATTAACATTTATTTTTCTCTCTCCTGTTTTTTTTTTTTTTTGGAAAAATTTTAAATTCTGATCTAACGGTGTTTTAAAGTAGTAGACAAAAGTAGGCAGAAAAAAAGGTAGGTAGAATAACTTATCCATATAAATATATATATAATCAATTCTTATTGATCTAATACCTTTTATCGAGTCGATAATCGATATAAATTTAATAACATTCGAACATAATGTCACTTTGAGAATTAAGCATTCTGGAATTGAAAAAAAAATGCCCTAAGGACTCCAGAGTCCAACGCATTTGATAAGCAGTAAATATTATTGGATTACATTATTAAATTTTCTTATATGACGTTCTAAATGCATTTTTTTCTTAAAAATATATAATTTTATTATTAAGAAATATCATAAAAAATAAGTATTCACTTTTTCTACGGTCAATGTAAATAACTTATCTACATTGAGTTCAAAATGACATCGTTTTAAGGCAGAAATCAAAGTATTTTTGTAATTATAACTTATTTCAGGGTTATAATAATCTTTTTTATTATAATTTTTTAATTTTTTCACTTAAAACGACGTCGTTTTGAGAGCAAATATAAATAATTTATCTACATTTACCGTAGAAACGCTAAATCCAAAAAATAATATATTGACGGAAAACATAACATAAATATGCTGCTTTGCTATTCTGTTATGAGATGGATAGGTAGCTCTAATCCTTTACTGTTACACTAATCACATTGAAAATTTAAAATAGGGTTCCATTTTTTCATTTGCATAAAAGAATTCTGTCTTGAAAATAAAATAACCATGTACTATGGATAATACATAGTTATAATCATAAAATTATTTTTTCTCTATCCGTCACGTCAGTCGAATTTGTTTGAAGAGAAAGAAAAAAATAACTTTAATATTATAATTATATACTACTTGTTATATATAGTTTTTTTTTTTTCAGTGAGAGATTTTCTTTTCCAAGATCATTAAGAGAATGGTTTTCGTTTAAAACAAGTTATAAATTGAAGCGAGGGAAATAGAGAAATAAAAGTGAAGAAAAAATATATAGAGAGATCAAAACATGAACCTTTGAAAAGTATGTGAATATTATCATATTATTATTGTTTAATCAGCTCCATGTGGAAAGCTTTATTGAGATGGCATGGTCCGCACAGGATACAATCCTTCATGAGGTTAGTGACTCAACAATAAAATTGAGCTTATCCAGGCGAATGGAATCATGGAGATAACACTAAAGAGGTTCCAAGAGTTTGCTTGAGTCAGGGGTTCAAACTAAGAGTGTTCATCAATTAATTCAAATTACGGTGACCGAACCGAAAAATCAATAACCGAATAAATCGAAAAATCGAAAAACAAAAAAAATCGTAAATTTTAATTGGATTGGATCGGTTTTCGAATTGGTTGATAAAAATCGATCCAATTCAAACGATTCAATATATCAATTCTCTTATACTTACTTGGGTTTTTCCTCAATCATAGTCCAAAAATTTCTAAGCTCAAGACCCATTAACCCATCAACTAAACCCAAGAAAAAATCTAGTCACATCTCATCAACAAATTTTCATCTGTGTAAAGCTTCATATCTCATTCAACATCAACATCAACATCACCTTTATCCCAAATTAATTGGGGTCGGTGGTAGATGAACCCATATGAAAGGTACAAAACGGTTGTAAAAAAAAGAAAAAAGAAAAGAAAAGCAGTAATGATATATATGTATATATATATATATATATATAAAAGTACAAAAGAAAGGGAAAAGAAGAAGTGGGGGAAATGAAGGGGAAAAGGACTAAAAAGGGACCATCTGGAACATAGGAATAACAACGAGTCTAACCATCCACCATACTTATAGCTTTTCTCCATTCCGTTCTAAAACACACTGTCCGTCAATCTATATCCCACTTCTTTAAATCTTGTTTTACTACATTCCTCCAAGTAAGTTTCGGCCTACCTCTGCCTCTTTTTGTGTTGAGCTTTTGGTAACAAACTTCTGTTCTCACAGGAGCATCTGACCTTCTCATCACGTGCCCAAACCACCTCAATTTATGTTCTCTCATCTTCTCGACTACCGGTACTACTCCTACCTTTCGTCGAATATCTTCATTTCTTATTTTATCCAACCTTGTATAACCACACATCCTCATCTCTGCTACTCCCACCTTATGCTCATCTTGCCTATGTGCTGGCCAGCATTCCGCTCCATATAGCATTGCCGGTCTTACTGTTATTTTATAGAATTTTCCTTTTAACTTAAGAGGGATTTTGCGATCACACAAAAATCCAGATGCACTGCGCCATTTCATCCACCCTGCTTTGATTCTATGATTTACATCCTCATCAATCTCTCCACCTTTTTGCAAAATGGAGCCCAGGTATTTAAAAGCAACTTTTTTGGGTACCTCTTGACCACTTAGATGCACGGGATCTTGGTCCCTATCTCGTACTAGAGAAAACTCACACTTCAGATACTCAGTCTTGCTTCGACTTAATGTGAATCCTTTGGATTCCAATGTGCTTCTCGACAATTCAAGTTTTCTATTAACACCATCATTGCTCTCATCAATAAGCACAATATAGTCTGCAAAAAGCATACACCATGGCACTTCCTCTTGAATATCTTTTGTTAGTTCATCCATAACTAAGGCAAAGAGATAAGGACTTAGAGCCGACCCTTGGTGTACACCTACCGTGATAGGAAAATAACTTGATGTTCCGTTACAAGCTTTCACACATGTAGTAACCCCATCATACATTTTCTTGATTGCCTTTACATACTTTGATGGAACCTTTTTCTTCTCCAGAACCCACCATAAAACTTTCCTTGGAACCCTATTGTATGCTTTCTCAAGGTCT